GAACCTTTCGGGGATAGCCCCTCACTTGAAATTTCTCGTACATCTGAATGAGTTGTTGTTCACACTTTTCTCTCAGTGAGTTATTTCTTAGAACTCGTAAAAACTGTGATTAGGGCAACGAGTGTTTCAGATGTCTAGGATGAAAACTGTCAAAATGCAATAGGGTGTTCCGGTCTGTCGGTTTGGAAAATAAAGTATATTCCAATCGTTGGTTAACGACCATAATCTCAATATCAAGGAATTGTATATTAGATTCACTGATGTTTGAAGTGAATCTTACTGGAGTAGGTAGTTCATTTAGGTTATGCACAAATTGGACGGCTTCATGTCTTGTCCCGCCCCATAAAATTAGGACATCATCGATAAACCTAAAGTAGCGGATAATTTGATGTGCATATGTCTGAAGGATATTTTTGGTTTCGTATTCATACATAAATGCATTGGCATACATTGGAGCCATCGCAGCTCCCATTGATGTGCCTGCTATCTGTAAAAACCAATCCTTCTCAAAGCGAAAGTAATTATTTTGAAGAGTGATGCTCAAAAGTTCTAACACAAATTCAATGGCGGGTCCTTTATAGTGTTGTGAGTGGGAAAGCAGATGGCGCATAGCTTGGATGCCTTCAGGTAGTATGGCTGCATTCACGGATATATAATATAAGATGCAAGAACTGAGACTTAGAGACCATTTTGCCAATCCTCGTGACACTACTATTGGGAATGTTGGAAATGCAACAGAACCTTTTCGGGTAAAATCTAACTTTGACCCGATATGAAATAAAGCGTCTATTAAAACGTTTTTATCTGTCATGAATAAAGATGCACAGACATACATGCAACAAGTTAGAAAAATTATACAGAATGTCTCAAGGCAGCAAAGAAAGATCATCAAGGAATTAGCGGAAGACCCCACGATTATAATACGCTCAGCTGATAAAGTGGGTGGCATTATAATTATGGATTACATTAATTATGCCACAGAATTGAATTTGCCACAATTTAATTTTAACCATGGGCCTAGCGGCAGGCTACATAGACCTGAAATTGCGACAATACCTCACTAAACAACATCCACGCACACCAATTATCTATACAATTCCCAAGATC